TGCGGAGGCGGTAATGTTGTTGGTGCTACCTTCGATTCGAGTTCACAGCGTGGCATTTCGCAAACCTCGGAAGTAGGAAGGATATTAGGCTCCACGCAGGCGCCATCGGCTATTCTCATTATCAATGATGCTGTTATTTCTTGTACACATTCTATGCTCCTGGAACGCGTACCGCTACCACAGGTAACCGAACAAAGGCTCCATGGGCCTGCTCTCCATCTTTGTCAAATTTATTCAAATAATTGAAATTCATGATTAAAATTTCTATATCAAATAAAATTATCTTTAAAATTAAATAGAATATACACATTAAATGTGTATTAAAATATTGAAATAATAAAGGCGTAAAATTATTAAATTAAGGAATAGAAGAGTGCACGATATATATGGAAGAATATATTTTTTTCAATTGAACGTATGGAATTCTATTCACCTGGGTAGGCAAGGTGTAGTATTGCATCGTACTTGAGTTTCTCGCGGTTTTTCTAACGCGTGGCATCTCTTTTCAGGCACAGGTGTCTGTGTGTGTTCCCTCGTGCATACGTATTTCAATATCTGAGTACCTTTTTTTTTTTTTGTAATAGATAAAAAAGAAAGATGTTTGTTTCATATATTTAACTTGAAAATATAATTTCTATAAATATCTCTTTACCTCCACCACAAGTTTTACTACACTCGGTATAACCGCTTGGTTTCCAAAAGAATTTTCTTTTCTTGTACCGTCTTGGAAGATATGTTTGCGTTCCATCATTGATATTAGAACCGGCTTCTATTCTATAGAATAATGAATATTTGTTAATAGATAACGAGGCATGAAGACAAAAAAATATTCGAATGTTGAAGAATTCTTACTTCTTGTGAGGAATAGCTTCACCAGCCTTGCTAGAAACTGAAATAGAACTCTCTGTACATTAATTATTATTGTTATTTTATTTTCGTCTATTTAAAGGAATAATTGTATACCCGTCTTATGTCCAAGATGAGAACTCGGAGATACTCCACCTCCGGGGATGACGTATCGATATACAATTCCGGGATTCGGTTCTTGATATAAAACCTGAATCGAAAATATATTTGAATATATCTTCTTGTTGTTTTATTTATTTCCATTTGCTATAATTTATTTACCATAACATCAATGGGCTCTTCCAATGGGCCAATGGCAGAGAAACTTTCCAAATTCTGAGGACTTTGACGAATGTAGACGAAACTAGTCCCTGCTGCTTGATACTTACCAGGCAGACTTATGCTGTAATTCCCATTGAACACGTAGGTACCATCTTGCAACTTGACCGCTAGAAATAATATTAAAATCAAAAGCAGGATTATTAGAAATCAATTAGTAGAATTTATCAATTTATCAAAATTCCATCCTACGTATAATCTTCAATAAAGAAAATTAGATATTTCGTTGTCAATCTATTGTTCATATTTTTTTTCCACAACAATCGAAATGCATAAATAAAACGTAAAAACATTGGTACGTGTTGTTACATTAAGATTCAGATCATTCCGTCGATAATGATTTCGCGTAATTGTTGCGCGTTCAAAGTTAGCTTGGATAATGATTCGAATAATGAAACGGAAACGGAGAGTCATTCACGGGTTTGCATGCGAGAAATGTCGGGCGCAATGCAATTGCGCGATACGATACATTGAAGGCATAGACGAGTCATTTAGCGGATGACGTGCACATTGGATAGCTGCTATGTGTCTTTCAACTCCTTTCGAGCCTAGTTAAACGAAATACTATCTTGATATTAGCTGTGAATGCAAATTGTTTCATTTTACAAACAGAGAGTGATACAATCTATCAACTTTGTTTAATTATCATACAATTAAATAAAAATTTATTTAAAAAAAAATAGAAATACGTGGAATAATTTATTAGATTGCTTTTCTATGTAAAAGTTATTCTCATTTTAATAAGTTAGCTTTAATAATGATAGCTTGTTTTATTGATATAGTTTTTCTTTTTTTTTCTGTAATTGATTATGTAAATTTAAAACTTTATCAATGATCTTTTTCATCAAGGCAATTTAAATTTCTAAGTATAAAAGATAGATTATTTTTACAAAATTTAATCATGAATTATTCTAATTTAAATTTATTCTAATTTAAATTTTTTACATTTTTACATTTTTCCAATCTAGAAATTATTCAAATACTATATTTCTATTTTATGTATTTTTAAATGCATTCTAAATATTTTTCGCACGTTTAAGCTCTCCACAAATAGTTCGCAAAATGGAAATTATTTAAAAATTTACCACGAAATGAGTAGCCATGTAATGACTTTTACGACTAATAAAGTTTTCGAAAAATTGTCGTAAATTGCATGTACACAATTGCGAAATCAACTTCGAGGATTCATGTTACATACATATAATTAATCACATCGTTATGAATACCTTCGATTCGTTTCGCATTACTTCACACCTACCTGGTTGTTTCACCAAGCGCTAAAGAATGGGTAATCGAATAAAAATAATATCCGCTATGTAATCTTCTTTAAAGATCTATGACACATCGACCCATTCGATCCATTGTGAAAATCTTGGCTGCGATCGTTTAGGCAAGAATTACAGTTCGCAAAGGTTCATATGATCGCTTTTACGACCGTATCGATTTATATTATTCACGTTGGATGTGGTTCAAGAAAAGTGAACGTGTAAAAACTAAGAATAGAAAGTGAGAATTTTCAAAATGAAGAATAAAAAGTCTCATTAATTTTGGAAAATAAGTATTCTCGTTTCTAAATAAAATAATGAAATGACATGACAAAGAGAGAAAACTAATTAAAAAATTCATTTTCAGTTCAATTCTATTAACAAATATATAATTTGAAATCAAGTATATTGCTCAATGTATCTTAAAATAAAATTATACAAAAATATATATGGATTTATATAATTTTCCTGAATTATAAATAAAAAAACAAGATATTTTAATGACTATTACATAAAACTATAAAAGCAATTGATTACTCATTATGACGATACGTGTATATCGTTAAACAATCCTTTATGATTACAATAAAATTGTATTCAACAATCTCAGAATAAATGAGAAATATTATAAAAGAAATTTCAATAAAATCTATATAATATCGAACAGGTTATATCGTTAAATATATTTTAATACCATCACAGAGTCAGAACGAATCAAAGGACGAAGTTGTGATCACGTATTGTGTGTCACGTGAATGGCTACTGCATTTAATTTATGTTCAGTTAATGCGTGTGCAGACATTAGAGATTATGCAAGGGTTGATGCCAAGAATACGCCTCGAATAGGATGAATTCTTCGCATTGATAATAAAGAAGCATCATGAACAAATACAACTGATTGTTTGTGATCGTGAATAATATCCTCGCGACAATAATTTGCTTACTAATACATTAGAATCATTTTGTTATATTCAAACGAAATTCTATGTATAAGCTTGATCCAAGAAAGTTACTTGTAACTTTCTTTCATTCGTTTTTTACTATTTCCTTATTTCCTTTTATCTTCATAAAATTAATTATTGTATTTTATTATTATCATTATTATTTTGTTATATCAGCAAGAAATGAAAGAAAGTCAGATTCATTATTTTGCAAGAATCTTACAAAAAAAAAAAAAAA